GGGGGAGAGAAGATGAGGGCGGCTGCTACATTCTGAAATGTAATAAGCAAATTATGCATGCGTGGTTGTGATATCATCAAGAACAGCCCTGGGGGTGAGATACGGAACAAAAGATTTGTGTGTGGAAGTTATTGTGGAAGATGGCAGAGAAAGCAGGAGGTGAGGACATGACATTCCAACCTTTTAGCTCAGACGTTTCTCGGAAGAAAAGAAATTATGTAAAATATGTAGAGAGAGGAGAGATAGTAAGTTAGATAACAATATCATATGTAGAAAGAAAACAACTAAAATATAGAAAGAAATCCCAACAATTTTATAGACAAAGCAAGACACTTGATTTTTTAAAATACCTTTTTCCAACCGACTATTGTTTTCTTTAAATCAATGAGGATGTGTATTCTGGTAATCCAACTACGCTTAAAAATACACTGTTTTGGGGCACTTTAATAAAAAAAACATAATTTTGTTATAAAGTTTAGACAGATTTTTCAGTTATATTGTCGTCATCTGAAACGTAAAAGCAAGAAGAAGCACATAATAAAAATGCCAAATATGTGATTCTGATTTATACACCGTGGTTCATAATTTGTCTACAAGTACAATGTGAACTTGGTCTGATGCTGTTTAGGATCAGGACATAATAATAGTGTCCGCTACCTTCTAAAAATTTAATGGTGAATTTTCAACGCTTTTGTTTTGTCCAGTTCTTTCCTCAACCACCACGATGAAAAAGAAGCGTTCATTGAAATCTTTTGGTCGTTTTTATTCTGAAATTAAATATATTATTTTTTTGTAAACACAGCGAAGGAAAAAAAATGATCGTCAGTTTTCCAGAGATTCAGGCAAAGGATAAATAAAGATTCGTTAATGATAACATAATAATATGATGATAAATCATATAACATATTATGTAATTTGACAAGAGCTGTTGATTAAACAAATTTAGTTTATCATGCAACTTATGATGAGAAATAGTTCCTCAGAAGTAGTGAGATGCCATCAATTATTATTCTCAGCCTTCGATGTTCTTTGTATTATTATTATTTACATGCATACCATGTCTTTCTGACTCCCACCTC